ATGAATACACTTCACCAAAAAGATGGTTATCTCATGCGTCATTCGCTGCCTCACATCATATTCATCTCTGCGAAAGAAACTACACTTCTCCCTGTTCAGATATTAAGATGTGAGTATTCTTCATCATTCCTCTGGTCAGAATCATGAACGAAAGGGTGAGAAATCACAAAATTGGGCATTTCAGTATCTATTTGTACCGTCGATCACATAATAAAAATTACTAATTGTAGATTAGATGATCATCTACACTAAATCACATGCATACAATCAGATTACTAATTTTAGATTTATTATAATGTAATCATAGAATGTACCAGAAACTTTATGCACAATCACACGTTTACTTACAAAAAAATAAATATAAATTAATTATTTACAAAAATTACATTTAAAATACTAAATTATTTTCAGCATAATCCAACAAATCATCATAGTTAAGTAAGTAAATATAACTAAAATTTTTGTTCAATACACCTATCGTGTACTCAAAATCCTCCTCATATTGCTTTCTTCTCCATAGCAATAAGTCCCAACTATCATGATAAAACCAACAACTATCATGAAAGAGGTTGTGATAACTTCTTACATGTGCATCCAAGAATGAGAAGTGCATCTTGAACTTTTCGTACTTCTCATGTTCTTTTACTCTCACATCATCAACATACTCTTTATATCTTGTATAAAACTTCAGATCAAGAACAGAGAATTGTTTTTCAAAATTGACTGTTAGTGTGGGAATTTCATAAGATCTTTCTTCATTGTCAGTCGACTTTGTGGACCAAGACTCAACCTTTTGACAAATATCATCCCAATTATCTTTATTTTGTTTCGGTTTTTTAAAGAGTTTTAAGAGTTTTTTAAAAAATTTCATGTTATGTGTTGTGTTGTATTTGTAAAATTCAGAGTGAATTGGAGGTTGTCTCCCATCAAAATTCTTACCGTTAAATAAACTTTTTCCTTTGCAAATCTTGCAAATTATTTTTTGTTATCATGAATTTGATTGGTTCTTTACGCATTTAATCTGTTTATTTTTGGCTTCTTTTAAACCGGTTTTCTTAATCCCACAATTATAAAAAATATATATAAAGGCTTTAAATTACTCAGTTAATTTTTAATTAATAATTTTTATATTAAGGTGAGAGAGTCCACCAAACCGTATCTTGTCTGGTCATTTGTTTTCCTTACATCATACTAACTCTTACTTTCTGCCACGCTAATATTGACGTTGATATGACGACGCTCATTTTCATGTTAGAACGATGGGAAAAAGCATAAAACTAGATTATTACGCTGTTCAAGTTGGTCGCAAACCAGGTATTTACTACACTTGGGACAAATGTAAGGCGCAAGTGTATAAATTTCCTAATGCAAAATATAAGAAATTTTATAATCTAAAACAAGCACAAAATTATATCGAAGAAAAAAATGTGATTGAGATTAACTCAAACAAAGTTCAAGTGTGGACAGATGGTTGTTCTTTTGATAACGGAACACCAAATGCGAAAGTGGGTGTGGGAGTTTTTTTTAGTGAAGGTGATCCCAGAAATCTTTCAGAACGTCTTCCAAGTAAACAACAAACCAACAATCGTGTGGAGATTTATGCGGTAATTCGTGCATTAGAAGTGTGTGAAGATAAAAGAAAACCAATAGAGATTGTAACTGATAGTAAATACGTGATCAATTCAATGGAAACTTGGATCAAAAAATGGGAAAAAAATGATTACATATCTTATCAAAACAAACCTGTTAAGAATAGTGATATGTTTAAATATTTGAAAAAAATAATAGATAGTCATATTGGAACTGTAAATTTTGTTCATGTTCGAGGGCATGTTGGTGATTTGGTAATGAGCGAGCTGATTTTCTAGCAAAACAAGGCTTACTTAAACCGATCCATAAACGAGATTTTACTATCGATGAACCAGAAAGAACAGTTAAAACAGGCTTTAAAATTACAGATTTCTACAAATAATTTTGTTTATAATTTTGTTTTTTTATTTTTTTATTTTCTAATAATTTTTTATTTTAATAAATTATATTTTAACTGTAAATTTGAAATGTGTTAGATTTTTACAATTTTCTTTTAAAAGATAAAAATTATTCTAATTCCAATTGTTTCTGAGATATGGTAAAAATGAGATGTGTAGTTGGATTTTTGCGAGCTTTGCGAGCAAAAATATCACAACATCGAGGCGTTTACCATATCTTAGGAAACCCACATGCTGATAATAGTAGAGGAGAGGAGACAGAGATATTAGTGTGGCATCGATTTTGTCGACGTTTGGTACAACGATTTGGGACGAGACTGGGATCGAGCCGAATCGACGATGTCATCAACGATTGACATCACCGATTCGGGTATTCCATATCATTGTACAAACACAGGCAAAATCATTTCAAATTAGTTGTTTAAATTTTATTTTATTTAATACTTGTAAGATTTTATAGCATTTAATAAAGCATTAAACAGATTATTTCTATGTTTGTTTTGCCAGATAAATTCTAGTAAATATTTTTCAATCTTGTTCTGGTTTCTGTCTTGTTCTCTGATGAATAATTTCAATGCGACCGGTTAGGCGCCAATAAGCAGCAGTTCATTGTTCATTTAGAAACACCTCAACTCAGTCAAATTTGTTTTTTTAAATTTTATTAGAAATAAAGAAAATAAACATAGATTACAATGTAATTTTCATTTGTTCAAGATGTGTTTGAAGCTGAAAATTTTAGTTTCAAATACATCGTGAACAAATGAAAATCAATCAGCCTCAAGCTATTAATTCTCTTTACATTTCTCTCTTTTTAATCTTAGTTGCAAGCAGTTCATCTGCAATTTTATATACATTTTTAACTGCTCTATCAACATTTTCATTATATGTATCTATTCTAAAATTCGTCTTAACTTCTCTTCCCAAAAGATCAACATTCAAGTAATGAACATTTTGTGTATAATGAATATAAAACCCAAATAAAATAAACAAAATAAAAATAATAAATAATAAAATAAAAATAATGTTTTTAAA